TTAGGCTGCTTTTGATATGGACTCGCAATATAGCAAATGGAAAGAATATGAGCACAATATACGACGAGGTCTATAGTTGTTGTGCTTAGTTTCCTGTGCATGTGTGTGATGCAGAGCAACGCATTAAGTTCAATTTCAGCTACTAGATCAGAATTTATGACATTGACGAAACGATAAAAATGTCGGCAGTACCCGGCACACACATAAATGTGCATTACGGAAGTGAAAGAGAGAGTGAGACGGAGATTGGGACGGAGGCGGAGGTGGAGGTGGAGGCGTAGCCGGAACTGGAACTCGCAAATAGTAGGGTGGAGGAAGAGGGTGAAGGAAGAGAGGGGGTAAGAGAGCAATATAACTGACCAGGCAGCATGAAAATGAAATGCGACGCTCAAACTCACGTCAGCGAAAGCGAAAGCGAAAGCCTAAAACTATTAATTTCATCGTAGTAGAAAAGCACGGAACGGTCAGACTGAGGAAGCGAGAGGGAAGGCAGGACTGGCTACTGGCAACGCTGGGCGACTGTCCGCCCTTTGGCCAAGGAGAAATCTATATTTACGATTATTGAAGTTTATGACGAAACGTTTTCGTATCATTTTGCGTCGCCTCATAAATGTTAAACGAGAGACTGACAGCGGTCTCACGGCTGGACCATCTACAATCACATAGGGTTGAGAATTTCATAAATGCTTTTGCACGCAAGCTGCTAATAATGCCAGGCGGACGGACGGACAGACAGACGGACGAACGTACGGATGGACAGGCAGGCTGACAGACAAACTGGACTGGACAGATACAGATACATCGTATGTGTGAGTGGTACGTTGTATACATGGTATATATAAATATATGTCGTAGCACAGGTGCCTGGCCAGGGTTTTGGTTACGGATTTGGGTTCGGTTTCAGTTTCGGTTTCGGTTTCGGTTTTGGCTGCTTCTTATTTTTTGGGGGTTGCTCTATGCTGTATGGCCGCAAAAGTGCAATACGCTCGTAAAACCAATGGCCAAATAGCCAAACGAGAAATGTCTAAGTAAAAATGTTGTGTAATTACGTTGCGTTACGCACAGATAGAGATACAGATGGTAATGAAAATAGAGTGGGGAGAATGGTCAAGCAGTTGGGGTCTACAGCTGGAGTTGGACTTTATGATAGTCGGCCACATCCCCCTCGCTCCGCTCCTCCCCTCCTCTCTACAAAAACGGCAAAAATCGTACTACGTCTCGACCACTGTTAGTTGGAAAAATCATAATTAGGCTTCGGTTTGCCCCCTTTTTGTGTACACGTGTGTGTATGGGAGTGTGCGTGTGTGTGTGTGCCTTTTATTGTTTTAATGAGCAGACTAGTGCAATTGTAGGCCAGGGTGGAGTCTGCTGAAACTGGCAACTTGTTTCGAAAACTGTTATAGCTTTGCCGGCTCTGTGCTTTTTATCAATTGATCTAACCGAACTGAGGTCTGGCTGTATTTAATTTTGGCAATTGTTTACCATTCCTTGTCATTATATAAATATTTAAATTCTATAAGTGGGAAAATCCTTTAATCAACTTATCAATAGAATTTCAGAAGAATCCTCAGTAATTTTCTGAGAAAATAAGGCCTCGAAATTTAAGTCTACGTTCGATTCACCTACCTACATTAGATGTCATTTGAGAGCTACTTCAAGGCATTCCAAACATAGAATGTTCTTCCCTACATTCACATTTAAATTCGTATAGTCATATTTAAGAATCTTTGCACACGTCAAGTCGAACACATCCCGAATATATATAAATATATATATATACAAAATAAATAATTTGAATACATAAATTAGTAAATATAAAAGTTTTGCAGCGTAATCGACTGAAAATCCATTGTAAATAGTAGATGTTTAATAACCATTCGTCTCTAGACACGAAAAAGGAATTGGAGGTAAGTATGTGATATTTAAGAGCGCATAAGTGATTCCTATCTTTCAAATATTTTTAGACATGTCTGATACTAATTCTGATTCACCACGAGGAGATCTGGTCAAATTGCCCAGGACTCGCGGCAATCCGCGTGTTGGTCTCGTTAATCTGGGCAACACTTGCTATATGAATTGCGCACTTCACGCACTATCAATGACTCCTGAGTAAGTTCAGCATTTCACACAATCGCTTAACTTGTCCAAGCTTTTGTTTCTTTTTCAGCTTTAGTAGGCAGCTTTTGCTTTTGGATAGCCCGTCGAAAATGATTGTGCAGATGCAACGTCTGATTGCACTGCTTCATTTTTCAAAATACTCCAAAATAATGCCGACGTCCGTACTATTTGCTACAAATCGGGCGATGTTTACATCTGGCTTGCAACAGGACTGTTCCGAGTATTTGGGACATTTGCTCAATCTTCTACACGAGCACGAGAAAGTCATGGGCTGGCTGTGGCCCTCAAATGCAACTGGCAGTTCAATTAACTGGGTGGAATCTTTAGATTTGCTTTTGCCTTACAGCAATAAAATGTCAATTGCGGACAGATCGTTCTCTGGTCAGCTGTCCAACATTTACAAATGTCTCACTTGCTCCTATGAGAGTAGCAATCCGAACAGTTTCCGCGAGCTGCAGCTCGCATTTCCCGAGGGCAAGATCAATCAAAAATCAAGAAAGCCTAATTTTACGGTTCAGGGTCTGCTCGATCTATACTGTACGCCAGAGATACTCGATGGCGATAATAAATACGCATGCCCCCAGTGCGCTAAACACTGCAAAGGCGAACGTCAGATTAAAATCACTGAGGCTCCGTTGAACATCATCATTACTATCAAACGATTTAACTACAATAGAGAAACCCAACTGCGCACAAAGCTATTGCATAAGATCATCCATGACGACATGGTAAGTGGATTACTCTAATATATGTCTTAGATATGAAGAGAGGAAAGTCGGAGGAAGATGGAGGAGAGAAGGGAGAGGTAGGAGGAGGCAAGAGATAGTAGAGATATGAGAGAATTGATGAGAGAGAAGACGGATGAGAGAGTGAAGGTAGCAGAGAGGAGGTAGCAGAAGCGGCGCAACAAAAACAGGGTAGCAGAGAGGTGGCAGAGAGATATGAGAGCAGAAAGGAGGGTGGGCAAGGTAGATTTGTATATATTTCAAGAGTAAATAATAAAGATATATAGCTAGACACGTTCTAAGGGAAAATAGCTCAAAAACAATTTATAAGTAATTATTCAATATATAAACTTACCTGATTTACACATAGATCACGCTCGATCTATATGACAGCCAAACGCTGGAGCAGACATATACGATGCACTATCGCTTGTATGCGGCTATAATACACGTTGGATATACCCTTGACTCGGGGCACTACTATATAATGGCCCGTGATCAGCAAGATAATTGGTTCAAATTCAACGATAGCAAAGTGGCTCACGTGAAACCCACAGAAGTTCGCAATTTACGATCCCCAAATTCTGCACACGTTCTTATGTACCACTTAACTGGCAAATCGGATCCGAACACGGAAGCAGCTGAGCCGGTTGTGATACCAATACCACCGGTGGCACCGCTCAAATTGAATGAACTGCCTACGAGACTTCATGACTTCGTAAAGCGAAATATCGGAAAGTAATTGAACTGTCGTACCACAGAGCCATAACGTATGCATTTATTATATAACATTTGTAATTTTGGAAATATATAAATATTTCTTTTATACGCTGCATATATTCAATACTCTGCGTAGCTTTTCACATTCGGCTTTACAGGGCTACTAAGAGCCAACTCCTGTTCACAGCCTCCAATGACCGTGTGCACAAATGTGGACAAGAGTAACAAGCCAGATAACATTTAAGCGAAATCGCTTTAAAATCAATTAACCGTAAAATCACTCGGCTATTTGCAACAACAAGCGAGCCGCGAGTCCTGCCGGACCTTTGTTGCCCTCGGACATCGATGCGACGCCGGCCAAACAATCAAATGTGGTGGCAATAACATTAGCTGCCCCAACCCAAAAGCGTGGCATGCGTTTGCATATGTGTCCGTCTGCATGCAGACGGACAAACAATCTGCCAGACCAAACAGAGCCCCCAATCGCCCCCACTACCGCCAAGTCGTAGGCGGCTGCTGCTGCAGTGGACGTGCTGCCAGGTATTAACCTCCATTTAATGTTTAACAAAGCCGCGTTACATGTGCATGGGGCGAAAGCGCAAGAGAAAAAAGTGATATATAAAAAAATCAACAACAAAACGGAACAGGCTGTTATGCCACGCCCACTCTCAACGGGCAGTCGCCAAACATTTCGATTAACATACGCAAACACACACTCACACACTAACACAGTTGACCATGAGATGGGAGGTGGGTGTGGCAACTGAAGGGGTGGTGGAGAAAAAAAAACAACATAACGTGCACGGGCAGCAAATTGAATTGCCGGCAAACAAGGCCGAGACCTGCAGGAAGCTGCGCGTCGGAGTCGAAGTGGGGCCGCAGCGAAGCGCCGGCCGTGTGCGATGATGGCCCACGAGAATCAGCCTCACATCGTCATCAAAATCGTTTTAAACAAAACGGACTAATTAAGCGCACGTTGTAGTCCACGTTTGACCTGCTCGGACCGGACTTGCTCTGACTATGGCATCAGTTGCAAAATGACTTGTTGGAACTAACAAACTTAATCAGAGATAGAATGAAGGTGCTAAACTATATATAGCTGGAGGTGGGAATTTTTGAGAATTCTAAAGAGGAAATCTTGACCAAAATCAGAATGAGGCTTAATAATAATAATCAAATAATCAATTTTGATTAAGAGGTTTATGCTGAGATTAGTAAAGGCAAATGCTGATTCCAAGTGAAGGTCTATAGATTGACCATGGGTACTATAAAGTATTATATTTTATATACTACTATAATACTAATAATCATAAGGCAATTTGTTACTTTTTTACTGTGCAAGCCTTAATAGCCGACCACATTCCGACATCGGCTGCTCTGATTAAATGAAAGACAAAGGCAAAAACATTTGCTTTGGATTAACTAAGGGAATTATATATATGCGATTTATAAATACATTGTATACATATGTGTAGACGTGTCTGTGCCTTTATATAAATATTTATTTCAATTGAGTTGTTGCTGCCGCAAACTTTATGAATAGAGAGAAAAGCAAGCAGAAAGTGTGGCAACAACAACAAAATCTCCTTTTGAGTAGTCAGTCGCAACGGTTCGGGTAGTTAAGGCGCTTTGATGTATATGTGTCAGTTGTCCACTCACACACACAGGCACACACACTATCCCACACACACACTCATCCATATAGAAATATTTTTGGTGTATCGCCGCGTAAATCCGTCTTTGAATAATGATACCGTTGATAGCTGGGATTATAGTCCAGGCCCAAGCAACTCTGCCTCTGCTGCTCTCTCACACTCGCATGTGAGTGCATGTGTGTGGGTGTGTGTGTGTGTGTGTGTGTGTGTGTTGCCAGCCTGGCCATTTATTTATTATGCCACAATATTCAATGACCCTTAATGGCATTTCGTAATAAAAATATTGGATTAGTTTGTTAGTTTTGGTCGCGCGCTGGCATATCAACCACCGTCGAGGGGCCCATCGTATCGCTCAGCCACCCACTGGACACTTTATCAACTGGCTCGGCATTACGTATTCCATTAAACGCCTAATGAGCCCATTGTGCGGCGTCTGGGGTCATCAGGGGCCCGTCTTTGTTAGCCCTGGGAGGGGCGTGGCAGGCGCCCAGGTACTTAGACTTAGTTAGTGATCAAAGCGGCAATGCGTGCATATGCCACGCCCACCACAGCAATGACTACAATCCATTTTTTTGTTAGATCAAAAAACGAATGAATATTTAGATAAATTTCGTTATCAAATTAAGAATATTCGAACAGAAGAAATAGTTTATATATATATGTCTCATATATATATACATATATATATATATATATATATATATATATATATATATATATATATATATATATAGAACACAGATATATATACTTACTCTACTTCTTAGAAATCATTAAGAAAAAATCTTTTAATTGAAGCTTGAGGCTAGCTCTTAAAATATGATCCGTAATTTAATAAATAATAGAAAAAATAATAATAATAGAAGTTGATTTCAGGTTCAGCTGGAATCTATTTGCAGATGACTTCATATATAAGCAAACATTTGTTTGATAAAGACTATACTATGCTAGGCTAGGCTAGGCTAAGCGAGGCTGGTAAAAAGCTAAAGATTGTAATACGCTTAGCCTTGGCTACTTTCATATGCATGTAGCATATTAAAATAGCAAAGCAGCAAATGCCCCGGCACGTAATCGGCATCGGAATCGGAGTTTGGAGCTGGAGCTGGAGCCAGGAGCCGGCACATGGCACACGGCACACGGCACACGGCATACGGCATACGGATAGCCGAATAGTCGAGCGGACGGGTAGCTCAGGACCCTTAGACTTGCATGCATGTGACATAATAAATATTAATGACAACTGACCGACAGCCTTGCCATAGATGATCCCTGCCCAGTGGGTGGGCCGGGATGAGGGGACGTATGTAGGTGGCCGGTGGGTTGACGTTGACACACATTCGACATGTGACAGATAAATTATGGCAATTGGATGAATGCCGCCACACCTCTTCAAACATGCCCCTGGCCAACATCATGCAATTTTGCTTTAGCTATGAGATCATTTTTCATTTTCATTTCCTTCTCTCCCTTTCTCTTTCGCTCTCTCTCTCTCTCACGACTGTTTTTCGTTTGTTTGTTTGTTTTTCTTGGTGCGGAGAAGGTTGTGACATATGTGCGTTCACGACTAATGGCAGTCAAGTTTACCATAACCAAAGGACATCAGCCAGCCAGGAGACCCACACGCTCTGTTGAGGGCCATCCTTAATAGTTTTCAGTTCGCAAATGATACGGTTGGCGCACTAATGACTGGATGCCACCAGGCTGAAATAAATTACAATAATCATTTATTGTTCAATAAGCCCAAAATGAAGGCATGCAGAAGTGGATGTAGCTAAGAGCCTGTCTGTCTGTGTGTATCCCAAGTTCACGCATGCATACAAATGTGTAATAAAAATAATGACAGCGTCTCTGGCTGCCAGCTAAGAGATCAGTTTATCACATTCATCAAGTGAAAAATGAATGGAAAAAACACAAGCTTCCGAAGTCACTTAATCGATAGATGCCATTTGGCAGCCGCACGCTTTGAAATCACATTAAAGCTTAGGAGTAGTTCATTTGGCTAACATATTCAACTAATTTTTTTCAATTACAATTTTACAATTACAATCAGTAGAGGTTCAGCCTAGAAACTGATCCATATGTCCAGCTTTCTCTGCTATCTGCTATCACATAGCGTTGATTTCATCGATATGGTTATATGAGGGAGAGAGAGAGCATTGGTGGGGCTGTCAATAGCTGTTTGCTTTAAAGCTGGCCACAATATTTACCGTTGTAATAGCGGAATACGGCTACCAATAATGAAAAGCAATACAAAAGCTGCCAAGGATTATTTACAAGCGAGGAGCTTAAAGCGAAAACCAATTCAAAAGACCGAAAGAAACCAAACAAACAAACAAACAACGGAACAACGAACAAACGAGCTGCCCCACCCAGCCACCCAGCCACCCAGCCACCCAAGCAACCAGCCAATTGGTGGTCTCTGAGCTGAGGGGTCTAAGTAATACGCGTGCATAAAAGAATCAAAAATCTAGATTTTGATTTGAGATATACTACTATGGACTATAGAGACAGACGGGCAGCTGCTTGCAACTGGGGACTGGGGCTCTGGGGTCACGACAAAGTCCTGTTCGTCCTGTGGGGATGTGTATCAGTAGCTACAGCTGTAACGGCGGCGCGGGCCATAAGTCAAGTGGCGCTTAATGCCTCTGCGTAGCGGCGCGCGTTTTGGCCGCGACTAAAATCGCTCGACTTTTCGGTTCTCTTCGGCGGTTTTTTATTTCTTATGGATTCCACTTCAATGAATTGAAAAATTGCCTTGAACAAATTTGATGCTGCTTTGCATTTGGTTGTCTCCTGTTGTTTTTTTTTTCTTTCTTCCATTCAACTCTGGAGGGTTCTGGGGTAATTTGTGGGGTTGGGCGAGGCGAGCCCCACGACAACTGTTTTTCAAACATGACATTTGACATTTGATAATGTCATTTGCCGCGTAATTGTTTTTTGATTTGATGCCCCATTTTGCCATTTGCCATTTCAATGTTATCATTTCTTTTTGCTGTTGTTGTTGTCTCTCTCTCTTTATCTGCCACGTTTCAGAATGCTTCCAACTCCCCCATATGCAACCCAAATTGATTCGACTCGACTAGAGATGGCAAATGATGACCATTGCTTCGCGTTCATTTAAAGAGATTTTCAATTTGTTGATATATTAATATTATCTCATTTAAAAACTGCCCAAGTTAAGCATCGAAATAATATTAACAAGGTCAGTGGAATGTAATTTAGTAAACTTATAAGTAATTGTAAGCCACAAGCTTATAAAAGAAAACAACAAATTTGAATGCTCTGTTTGCTTTATTCAAACATACACACACATATATATATACATATATACATATACAAATATATATATATATATATATATATATATATATATATATATACAAATATATAGACATATATATACACATATATATAGATGTGTGCGAGTACGCACATTACGCATAACATTTATAATTTAATCTTGTTCCACTAATAAAACCAATTGTGTAAAACTAAATAATCCATTCGAATGCGCTCAGATATAACGAAATTTATAAACAAAAAATTAGTAAAATTATTTTAACGATTGCCTGCAAGGAAAGATATGAAAGAAATCGCATTAAAATCAAAAGAAATTAACAAAGTAAAAAGGTCGGGAGTGTCCGACCGGAGATACCCTAAAACTGAACAAAATACAAGTTCGAGCTTATGGGCTTCACTATAGGAACTCTATGGCTTAATAGCTTTTGTTCTACATGGACTTGCGTACAAACGAACAAACGGAGCGACGCACATGACTATATCGATTCAGCTCGTCGTCCTTATCCAGAATATATACACTTTAGTGCCACGCCTCCTTCTGTCTGTATATATCCAATAAATATATATAGCGTCTAGCTTTGTTTTACACTCCAATCGAATCTAATCTTTTAAGTGTCTAAAATTCATGGTAATACCTGGCGATGAGGCAGCATATTCCTGGCCACAAATGTCCATTCGGGATGACTGAATGATGTTGCCGTTGTCTTTGCTATTGGACTGATTGGCCAAATTATTAACGTTATTGTAGTTGAAGTGGTTGTATTTGGTAGACGATGACAGTGGATCTGTTGACAGAGTAGCCAAGACGGCGCCCGTTATTGAAATTATTGAGGGCAGTTGCTACTGCAGCTCCACTCACCTGCCGAGCACATCTCTGGTCCGCAGTTCAATCGGCGTATACCGCAGGTAGCTGCATTTAGTTCACTGCCATTGACCGGATGTCTAGGCACAAATATCTTATTCTCATTGCCATCTAGAGCATGTGTGAATGCTAATGGATTTTTGGACAAGCCCGAAAGACGATCTACAAGTTAGTTAAATTAAAAACTAATAAAAATAGACAAAGATGGGATAATGAAAACTTTGAGAAATTTGTAATTTTTTTCTATTCAGCGATAATATAGATGTATATGAATATGTATATATACATATATATTATGACAGACTCTTGTACCTCTCAGGGTATCCTCTAACTCAGGGTATCCTCTAATCGAGCAGTCTCGACTAGAGGATATCGTACTTGCGTACTTTCCAGTTAGGACACGCTCATATCGATATTTACCTGGCATAGTCTGCATCTGGTCATTGGAATTGTGTTGTTGTTGCATAAAAGTGGACATTTGGGAGCGCATATCGAGGGGTGATGGAGACGAGGAGGATTGAACAGATTCGGCAAGATGTGCCGACATGGACATGGCCATGGATAGAGCACGCGCCTGAGCCGAAGTGCTGGGCATCAGATTGATGAAGCTGTTGCCATGCAGCCCTCCGGGCAGTAGTGAGAATGGCGGCACCTCGGGCGAGCAGGGACGTGTGTCTAGCTGAGTGTCGGATGCGGCCATGCCGTTCTCATACCAGCCCGGCAGCGATGGGTTGCCCTGCTGGGTGTTGGTGTCCTCGTTGATGGCCAGAGAGGCCAAGGCAGCGGCCAGTACTTCGCCATCAATGTCATCGCTCGCTGCTGCTGAGAAAGGCAACATGAAATCCAACTACTTACTAAATGGGGAGCTCAATTACCGGAATTCATGAGCCCCTCAGCCGATTTCTGGGTCTTGTGCTTGCGTGAAGGCGTGGCATTGTAGGAACTGCGCTCGTCGTCGCGCACGCGATTCGCGCGAAATTTCTCGATATGATCCATGCCGAACTCACAGTCCAAGTCTATTTCCGTATCCAGCTGATCTGCTTCGCTTTTCGGTTGTTCTGCAATTAAATATTTTGAAATATTTGTTTTAGTCAGTCGTGTCTGTCTCAACCAAAGGTTTGATAGTTTATGTGCTCACTGTGTAAGTGCTTGGCTGCCTTTGTTCGATGAGAGCGTTTGACAGGTTTGTCAATGTGATTGAATTTGGTTTTGGGCAGGGCGCCCGTTGACAGATTGGCAGCTGGCACAGGCTCCTCTTTTGGTATTTCCAGCTCGACGATGACAAGATGATTCGCTTCTGCCGAGCATAGGGACAATGGCAAAGCCCCCGTCTCGGCTAGACTCATGCAGCGTTGCAGCTGCAACACGAGATTATCAACTAGCGCGAAAATAACTGTCGAAGAGAAAGGATTTTGGTATGGAGCAATAGCTGCACCGGAGCTCGACTTACAGAGGGCGCGTCGTTCGCGATTCTTGGCCATGCGCTTGGGATAGGGAAAGGGTGCATCGTAGCCAAGACCGCCGCGCTTTGGTGGCGTGCACTTGGCCGCTTTCGAGTCCTCCAGAAAAGGCCGACAGCTACGTCGCGTCTGTCGTTGCATTTGGCTGCAAATGCAGCGTGGCGGTGGCAATGGCGGCACCAGCTCCGAGCACTTCAGCAATGTATCGGGCGGCTCGTTTAACTCTCTTATCACCAACAGCTCGGGCTCAACAAAGGGTGCCGGCTCCGCTTCTGCTTCAATGCCAATCTCGTCAATCTGCAACAATTCGGGCACGGGAGTTGCCTGCCTCGCTGGTGGGTCAGCTACTAGCACCCGTTGCATTTCAAGCTGACGCTCCAGACGCTCCTGCTGCTGGGCCACAATATCCAGCAGCAGCTGCTGCTCTTCGAACAGTTCGTAAAGGTCATGCTCCAGGCGATAGATGAAATATTGGTCTGAAATGTGATCCTCGGGCGAGCTGGGTCGCTCCGAATGCGGCATTTCAGTAGCCAAAAAGCTCCAATCGAGCTGACAGTCTCAGGCGCAGCCACCCCTAGAATTGAACAGCTGGGCACGCCCAAAGAACAAAAGAGGTTGGTTACCTATTGGTTATTGGCTATTGGCTATCAGCTATCAGCTATCGATACGCTATGGCATTTCGAGCAGGCGCAGTAGCCGCCACACAGCTGTCGGAGCCAGAGCGGGATGCCAGACAGAGAGCACGTACACACACAGACACGCAAAAAAAAAAAACGACGACCAGCAAAAAAGAGCCGAGAGAAGCGTTGGGGAGAGAGAGCATGAGTGAAGCTCACAGAAGGCACAAATGCAAAGCGTACCATGAAATTGGCAGCCGTTTGGCTTGATGAGGAGTCCGAATGGAGCAGAGTGGGCCGCAGTCAACAAGGGCTGGCACTTCCGGCGGCTGCTTCAGCTGCCACCCAAAATGCACAACGTTAGCCGTAAATTGCGCTACATTTTTATATAGTTTTCGCCCAGGGGCAGCCAGACGGTGTCAATTTTGGACAACAATCGCAGGGCGGCAAAGGCAACGGCTACAGATGACCAGTAACAAAAAATATAAATGGAAGAAAAACGAATGTAGATGCCGAATTCATGGCCCTAGAACCTAACAAGTGTGCGCCTGAAGGCACTGACAGCTAAACATATACCCTATACGCGATGTCTTTCTAATCGACCGAATTTATTTGTCTGTCTAGAAATAGATAGAAGTCTTTTTTATCGAGTTATACAAGTTTAAATCATAATAAAACAAAGAAATATATTTTTAATAACAATATAACAAGTTTTATTTGATAGAACTTGTTATGGCATTAATGCTTAAGTATTATTTTGATCTGCCACTGTGACGATAATTTTCACAATCATGACTGTTATAGTCATCGTTTTTGAAAAGATTTCGAACAATGGCTCTAGAATTTTCTGATGATACAAATTTTAGTAATTTACAAGCATTGTTCTAGTAAAAGTCTACCCACAACAAAATTTCTAACCAAACTTAATACAAAGCAAGCTTCATTTGCTAAATGAACTATCAAACAAAGACTGCTCAAAGTTATAACCGATCAGCAATGTTAAGCTTAGATACTGCAGAGACGTCAAAACGAATTCTTTTGCAAATAAAAAATGTATATATATGATAATGTATACATTAAAATATTTGAAAATATTTCTAGACAAGTCTTGATAAATGAATAAATATTTAAAGCAAAGCAAAGTTCAGCCAATATACGGCACCTCCAATAGCTGTCCTTGACTTCAGTATATCGAATGAATATATAATAAAATATAAATGAAAATCAAAAATTTGATCTGCTATGTAGACTTAAAATATTCATTCAGTATGTTAATATCGGAGGTCTAAAGGTAAAAAAAATAGAGAGTCGTCAGGTTCCTTTAAATTGCAACTCCAACTGCATTCGGTTTGGGTTAAGAGCTATTCGCATGTTCACTCACCCCTGGCAGACCCGACTAATAACTAACGCCACCTCTTGTCGCTGCTTCCGCTCGTCGAATGCCAACGTCCCCCAACCCTAACCCTAGCCCGTCAGCTCCTATCAAACCCTACAAAGTTAGTTTACGGCCAAAGTTCAACGGGTAAAAAATCCAACATAAAACTCATAAAAAATTGCAAAAAAAAAAACGAAAGGAGTAAAAAAATTGGCCAAAAGCTAGTCACAAAAAAGTCACAACGTGTGAGAATCGTGAAAATGCTGTAAAACAAAAATATATATATATATATGGTACGGTGTGTGTGTGTGTGTGTGCATAAAAAACTGAATGCAGACGAAAAAAATTGGTTTGTAACGCAATTCTTTTCTCTCTCCTACTTTTTTTCGTGCTTCGCTTTTCATTTGGCGTTGGCAGCCATTAGAGCAAAAATCAGCAGCATCAGCGGCTGCAAGTGGGTGGGGCTGGGCGACTGAACTGCAGTGTTGGTTAAAGGTTAGTTATTATTGTTGTTGTTGTTGTTGTTGTTGTTGTTGTTGTTGTTGCTGCTGCTGCAGTTGCTGCTACACATGTGGAAATTGTGCGCGTTTTGCAGTTTTTTAATTGACCAACAAATTTATTTGATTCGTTAGCGAGCGACGCGGCGCTTTCTATTTTTTTGTTTTAGCTCTTTTTTATATGATATAGGATATATCATATAAAAAAGCTGGTCTTAAATAGCATTCATCTAAAGTTAAAGTCAGCCAAAGCCTGTTCTATCCCACTCTCCCTCTCTCGCTCTCTCTCTCTAGCTAGCCAATTGAAATTCAAAGCCAACAAGGCACGCTTCATGGGCGTGGGGATTGTTGTCTTGCTGTTGCTTCTAAGGATTACATATTGGTAAACAACGATTACAACAAACAGCAATAACAACAAGGACAACTTATTGTGCTGCAAATTTGTTTGCCCAACAATTGCCCCAAGCACATTTTTAGGTCGCCTTCGGCTGGGTGTGGGTGTGGCTGTTTGATTTGATTGTTGACTTTATTGGTCAAGCGGTCCTTTAGTGTTGTCCTCTGTCCTCTGTCGTCGTCGTTGCTGTTGTTTATTGTTGTTCTTTGTGCCTTTGCCTGGGCTCGAGCTTGCGCTTGTGCTTGTATTGTTTTAACGATATTTAATCTATGATTAGAATCGTTTTTGGTCAGTAAAATCAATTAAACGCTACACTTGACTTAATTTATTGTCGCGCTCGATGAGCATAAAAGACAAGTAGCCGCCAGTCAAGTGTTTGGCTTATGCCCTGTAACTAAGTGCTCAATGGGGTATACACTCTGCTCTCATTCAAATCTACGTTGCTTTAACTATCAGTTTTATATACGGATATATACGTAAATCATATGTCTTTGATTCTGTTCATGAACTATGGGGTAACTACATCCTGGGCAGCTTGTATGCCTAGATGCGTATACCCTGTAATAGTATATGAGGCAAAGCATGCTACACACATATGAACAAATATTCGTAAATCCATTGTTGACGCCTCGAGGGTATCTACGGGTCAATCACTTGACTGCCGTGCCTCGAGGCTTCGTATTTGCTAAGAGGTCGTCTAGCAAGTGAATACCAAAAATGCGATGCAAAATGATATCATATGAACTGAAATGGTCGTAAAATCAAATTGGCCTCTCGCTCCAGTCCAGTCGAATGCCAATAAAAATACGACAACAAATCTGAACACACTCGAAACGCTTTGTCGGTGTCCGTTCGCTCGCTTGTTTTCTGGTCGGCTATCTTTATAGCTCGATCTCTTTCGCCGACCGATGTCGATGACGATGACCGGCGACGCAGAAGATAATTGTTTAACTTGGCCAGCGGGCGGCGAACGTACGGACATATATTGCAAAAAAAAAAAAAAACAAAAATAACAAATAAAAATAAATAAATAAAAAAAAAACTCAAGCTAAGGCAAAGCATAATTAAATGAAATAAAATAATAAAGTATTTAAAGCTCAGGCATTAGATGATCTTAACTTCGAATTCGCATGCGGAATTTGTGTAAGAAAAAAGGGAAGCTAAAACAAAATATTAATACTCTTGATGTCAGATAACTTTTTAATAAAAAAAAAGATTTTTTTAAAATTTTAAAGTTTTTTCTGCAACGAAAATATTTTTCATGGTAAATTTTAAAATGAAAAAATATTTTTAAATTAAAAATAACATATGTTGAGTATACCTGAATAGAAAATAATTAATATACAGTTAAGTAGGATCTATCTATAGACATTAGATATAAGATGTCAATTATCAAGTCAATTATCCCCACTTCTGCTAGGTGTGCAAAGCATTAAGACAAATCCAAATCAAATTGCTCTCCGAAACACTGCCAATCTGAAGCAGAACATGCAAATGACCTTAGCTAGACGTACACTGAGAGAAAAAAAGTTAGCTACAAGGGTTGGCATTTAGTATTCTGTTTAATGATGCAATTGGAATTTGATGACTCGGAAAACTGAGTGCGGCTGCTGCTGCTGCGGCGGCTGCTGATGGAACGCAATCAATGCGTTGTCACTTGTGGGCTAACAGGACTTCGAATCTGGAAGTAGACAGAGAGCTCGGTGTCCATAGTCCGCTGTGCTTTATCCGTAGTGTCAACAGCAGCGGGCCCAGGTAAATTGCAACCAATAATAATGAATAATTGAAAATCCAATCAAACACCAAATGAAAGCGGAGGCCGTGCTGCCATTGCTATTGCCATTGCCTTTGCCATTGCCTTTGCCATATTCATATCCCATATCGCCCACAACAAACGCCCAACCACCGAACCACCCATCAATTCGCGCACCACCCCGTTAGCCGCATTTTGACAAGGCCGGTTGGCAGCGACTGGTGTTGATTTTGCCGGCTTTATCGAAGGACATTAGCAAACGGTCGTTGGATTCGGTGAAAATGCAATCAAAAGTGTGGGCCAACAGACAAGCAAAACAACAACAACAACAACAACAACAACAGCAACGAGCAGAGCAGAGCAGAGAGCAACAACGACAAACCAAAGCGGCCTGCATAGATGACACCCCAGGGACATGGCCAAAGTCAATGAATGGTAATAGGTGTCGACATGGCGTTAGGGCGTGGCAGCCATACTCATACCAACACACACAGCCACACACACATGTATGTTTGTGTAGCTTTACTGGTGTTGTTCTTGCTGATTGCCACTTTCGGCCATGGATCGAGCCAAGCAGTTAGCACAGCGATTCCGTCAGGCTCTGCCTCGAATTGGAGTTGAGCTTCAGGTATTCAGGCAACATGCATTAATTGCCAACTAAATTGACTTTGACTGGTCTTTCGGCTGGTCGACGCAGTGCATTGATTCCATTGCTAGGCGCCTCACTCACATCATGTTTTGCCCAACCACTTTACAAATTAATTGCAATTTTGTTGGCCATTGAATAGTTGACGTCAATTAGAGCTGCAAATGGAATAGTTATTTGTTATAAATATAATCAGTTTGATAAGACGTCTATCTAGAACTGAGCAAATTGAAGAGTTCCTCTATAGCAAAAAAATTATGAACAGGTTAGCTTCGTGAGCTCATTAAAACGAACTGCTGAATCAAGTGAGTGATCAGTGAGACAACTAGTTCGGCATTCTTGGAACTGAACTCTCTAAGGATCCACTCAGCCGACGATCAGTATGAATTGTTGGTGGCTAACTAAATTATTAACTAATAAAACGAGCTTTTGAAATGAATCTTTTAAGGGAACAATTCTTGAAGTGAACAGTCATAAAAATATAAAACAAATTAATTAGGATTTCAGTTTTTACAACTAGCCAGTTACACGCCCTTTTTCCATTATCAATGATCAGACTCAGGCATATAGATAGTCCGAGTAAACGAGATGAGCTCGGCTATCGCCGCTGCTCGAGTATCAAATTTACTTTATGCTTTTGCTTATTAGATCCACTTTAACATCAATATGCCCTGTATACCCATTTTCAAGGGTATACAAAACTTAAGCCCCAGACTTTTAATCAAGACTTTAATAGTCGGTTTTTAATTTAAATATGAAAAATATTAGCTAAGCACTTCAGTGCTTAGAGTTTGAAGTCCTAAAAATATTCGAAAACTTTTCGGAAAATTTGTTTATTTCAATTTCATTCGTCGAATTCGTGGCGAAATTGCGTGGCAACTGTAACTGAGAACAGCGAGTT